AATTCCGTTAGATAGGCACTTTTTATATAGAAAGATATATATATATATATATATATATAGTTTCCTTGATTGTAATTCATAGGTTACAAGAATCATATATCAATAATCAATTCTCCATTTGAAGGAGATATTTGAAATATGAAATGTATGAGTATTTTTCAGTGGAAGTGTCGTTGTTTCCTTTTCTTCACTTCCTTCTTCTCGTAGGGAGAAATCTGCATGTATCCTTCATTCAGCTTCAGTACCGAACTGAGAAGGTACACTACTGATAAGTTTGGATTGGTTAACGAGCTCAGCTTGTCAGGTCATCATGAGTTTAAACTTATAGGTGGTCCCCAACAATTAATGAATTACTTAGGGAAGGAAGTTAAAGCATATGATTGGTAGACTTGATGAACGCTGATGTAAGATCGTCCATATGCCACTTACTGATTGATTGTAAGTACAATGTGTAAGAAATCTTCAATCATTATATTGCATTCGACCTTGATAGACTATATAATTCGAGCTAGCCTCATATACCGAACTCACATTAGCACGGGCTTATCATATACACCAAACTGCACTTATCGACCTCGGAGGTCGAATGCCAACAATATATAAAATGAATTGAACGTTTAACAAAGTATTTTTAGAAGAAGTCAAATTGGACAAACTTTATCTAAAAGCTCTTCTAAATAAAATAAACACTTCTGTAAATCTAGCCAAACAGATCCAAAAATAACGTTTGATATTCAAAACTTTTTTTTACTTTTCAAAAGTTATATCAAAATTACACTCTTTAGACAACAAAAATTTCACTAATTCTTAGCAAACTACCTAATAATACTTTACATATTTTTGGTTTAGAAAAAAAATAGATTTTCAGTAAATTATGATAAAATTTTTATGGAATGCGTGATTTGAAAAATTGTGGATCATATGAAATGTCTGATTAAAAATAATTATTAATTTTTACTTCGATTAATTTGAACAATAATTGTAAATTGACTTGAACTTAAATAATTAATGGATAAATCTAGAATTGAGGAGAAAGACTTTGGTACACGTTTGGAAAAGTTTAGAAGTTGTTAAAAAATGGTATCAAAATCAACAATTAAATTTCAGTTACAATTTTTATTAATTTTTCACCCATGCGTTTCCATCAAGTTTTTTTTTATAATTATAAAAAAATTAGTCAACAACCATTATAGCACTTTTAAGAAACTCTTTAAACATGAGATACTCTTTATTTTAAAGAGTCAACATTTAAAACAATGTTACAAGAGACTCTTAAAATTGACATTTCCTTCCGTCCGCGTAACACTCCCACGACCAGCCACGTGTCATGGGAAGCACACCGCCACGTAACTTACCGTGCAACCGCGCACACCGTGACCTTTCCACTATTCTTGGAGCGAAAGAAAGTCATCTCACGGAACTCGGGTGCTTGTCTGGCTAAATTATTGTGTCAAAGGACAACCGCCACATCAGTTTGTTTATACATCTGGTCTACCTACACCAACCAATCAATATACGCTGTTGTACACATTTGAAAATTATTCATAATTAAAAAAAAATATATTCATAAATTAAGTCAGGTTTAAATTTTTTTTTTCACAATATTCTTCATTGACAATTAAACTTTAAAGTTTCTTTAGATGATCATCAAACTTGTAAAATCATTATCCTTTTGATCATCGTACTCAAAAAAATTTGATGATCACCAAACTTATAAAATCTTTATTCAATTGATCAATAAACTTTAAAAGTTTTATTTTTTTGGAAGATCACCTAAGTTATCGAGTTATTATCTTATTTATCATTCGATAACTCATTGTTAAAATTCCGACGAACTATTTGACGTGACAAAAAAAAAACCTTTAAACCTTGATATAGTGTGGTATTGTCGTTAGTTGACGACAAATAAGTCAAAAATGAATTTATAAAAAGTGTGATTTGATTTTAATCTTGTTTCTTTTGTTTTTCCTACATTTTTCATTAGCATGTTTTTTTATCGATTTGTTGTCAATTGACGACAATAATGTGCAAATTTAGTATTTTTATCGCCACACCACTGATTCCGTCAAATTTTATAACGATGAGTTATTGAGTGATGGATACGATACGATAACGACTTGATAAATTTGATGATCGTTCAAATATTTTAAAAGTTGAATGACCAATTGAAGACCGATTTGACAAGTCCGATGATCATCCAAAATTATTGTACAAGTTAAATGACAATTTGAAATTTTAAGCCACTTAAAACACTTTATACTTCAAATAAATACACGAACATATTTAAATGAATTGTAGCTATACAATACATTTTTGGCATTTTTTAAATTAGTATGAAAGTTACAAAATATATCTATATATAGCCCATGTTTAGTTCAATTAAAAAATCTAATTAAAATTTAAGTCAAAATCAATAATTAATTTTTACAATACAACGAATGGAATTCACGACTTTTCAACGACACATTCTATCTATTTTCATTAAAATATATTAAAAATATAATTTTTATCTAATTTAAGAAGTGACATAATAAACAAATATTTAAATTACATTAAACAAATATTTAAATTAAGTTAAAATCGAAAGTTCACTTACTAATTTAAAACAAAAGAAATTGAATATTAAAAGGTAAAAAAATGCCAAATATGGAATGATGGACAATTTTTAATTTTATTTAAACTAATAAAATTTAGCCCATGTTTGATGGCCACTATATTGAAAAAAATGAAATTTTGAACAGTGATTTTTTTTGGAAAATATGTTATTAGAAAGTAGAGAAATTTTTTTTGTTTATGTACAAACATTTTGTTATATAAATATGTGGTTGAAAATAAGTATCAAAATTAAAGAATTTTAAAATAATTGTTGTCAAACGAGAGCTCTGATGAAGCGTGTGCTCATCGGCGGTAAGCATAGCCGGGACATGGCTTCGGCGGCGAAGGTGGCCGTGGTGAGCAGGCCTCCGTTTGATGAGGTGGTGATTGGAGTGAGGGGGCAGGGTGTTAGGATGTTGCTGGGAGGGTGGAGGAAGATGATGAGCACTGCATCAGAGCCTTCTTCGAAGGTAGCGATGCCGGAGAAGGAGAGTAGCGGCGGGGTGGCGGAGAAGAAGGAAGACAAGGGTGAAGTCATGGTTTCCAACTACTGGGGAATTTCGAGGCCTAAAATCACTCGAGAAGATGGCACTGAGTGGCCTTGGAACTGTTTTATGGTAATATATATTCTTGTACAGTTAGATCAGTGTTGAATATGTACGAATTACGCATTTACTTCTTTCTCTGCGAGTTCGATCCATAGAGTCTATGTCTATAACGTTATGCGTTTGTTTATGATGGTCTAGCTGTTCTATGTTTTATTTAAAATTGTTAACGAATCATACACGTGCAAGCTGCGTGTTTGTGAAACAGTGTGGCTTGCTTTATTCGTTGGTAGCATTTATTCAAAAAAAAAAAAAAAAAAAAAATTGATTTCGATAAGTCATATCCAAACAACAAATACTATTGCTATTATGTAAAGTAATATTCACGAATCGTTCTTTATATGACAAATTCTTTAACAATCCGAAGCTGCCTTGATTTCCGGTGGTGGAGAAAATATATCGTGATATGTAGAAAGTCCCAAATTTTAGGGCTGATAATGTAAATGGGCTGTGGAGGAACTTGATTCGGACAGTCAGTGGGTCAATATAATTTCTAGTTCTGGCCTTAACTTGTTCTAATATTGAATCAACTATTATGCCATTTTAGATCTTTCAGTTTGAATGGGGCATCCGAAATTACATTTTTGCAATTTCTTGCTTCCAATTTTATATTAAAAGTCATGGCTTGGGTTATCCAATTAGGTTTTTGAGGGTTTAATGAGATATGTGAAGACAAACCCGAGCAGAGTCTGAATGTACTGTATAAATTTACTAGTCGCCATTGGTTTGGCTTTCAATTTGGCAGCTTGGTTGCACAATGGTTCATATGATTATATGAATGTAATTGCTTCATTGCCATACATGCCAGTTTAACTATTGCATTCGTGAATCAATACTAGTTGCAGAAATATTTGCTAGTTTTTATCTGTCTGGATCAATATTTTTGCACACTGATTTTGTCCCGACAACTTGGTGTAGAACTATTTATTGGAGTCACAAGCACGTTTTTTCCACCTGAAATGTCACAATGATGACATGCAATAGCTCCATATCAATGCTTATTTCGGCTTTGACAGTATAAGTTTTGAGTTTATTTCATTTTTTTGTTTGCAGCCTTGGGAAACTTACCGGGCAGACTTGTCTATAGATCTGCACAAGCACCATGTTCCCACGACATTTTTGGACAAAGTTGCATATAGGACTGTGAAACTTCTTAGAATTCCAACAGATATATTTTTCCGGGTTTGTTATCCTTTTTATCTCTCTTTTTGCTTCTTCTCCTTTTGAATGGTAATGTACTCTTTTCGAGTATACACGTGTAGAAGTTGTTCTCATTTTAATAAATATTCACTTTCAGATTGATTATGTGCTGAAATACGACCATTACCTATTTATTTATCCTGGAAAAGTCCGCATCATCGATTTATACAACATTGTTGCGTATCTTAACCAGCTGCATTTTGTATCTTGTTTTGGAGCAATGATTATGATTTAGTTCTGGAAGTTTGAAAATGAGGTGTTCAAAAGTCACATGAACTAGTTGAGAAATATAGTATCTTATCTCCAAAAGAAGTGATAAAAATATTTGCAAAAAAAAATAAAAATTGGCCCTCTCCTAAATGCAGGGCAAAACTCTGACACTGAATCATCAGGATGGAAGTTTAGGTCGATGGATCAATGCCATTCTAGTGGAGCTAATATTGTTAATGCTTTTGGATCAATACATATTTTGACTTTTCCACTCGAATTTAGCCCATCCGTAATTTTACAAGAAATGTGTGATGGATACATTTTGATATAAGATCTTCCATATATTGGATGATAATATTTTGACACAGGATATTATAAATGTTTGATTCAGACACTTCGATGTAAGACACTAGAAATGCTTGATGAAGACACTTTGACACGATCTTCAAATTACTTTTTCCATTACACTATCAAAACAAACTTCAAATTCGCTTCTTGTACTTACCATAAAGATAATTTTCCTCTCAATTTGACAATGGGAAAATGGTTGTGCCATTCATTATTTGTGTTTGGTGTGATCTTACTGTATTAGAAAATGATCAAGTACTTATATTGAAGATTAGAAAAGTCTAGCCATTAGATCCTTGCACCACCTTAAATGTTTAGTTGAATGATGGCAATACTGTCATTATTTGCAGAGGCGGTATGGGTGTCGAGCGATGATGCTTGAAACTGTGGCTGCTGTTCCTGGTATGGTGGGGGGAATGCTATTGCATCTCAGGTCTCTTCGCAAGTTCGAGCAGAGTGGTGGATGGATTAAAGCATTACTTGAAGAAGCTGAGAATGAGAGGATGCACTTGATGACCATGGTAGAGCTTGTGCAGCCTAAATGGTACGAGAGACTGCTGGTGCTCACAGTTCAGGGAGTTTTCTTCAATGCTTTCTTCGTGCTCTACTTGCTATCTCCCAAACTGGCTCATAGAGTTGTTGGGTATCTAGAAGAGGAGGCAATACATTCATATACTGAATACTTGAAGGATATTGATAGTGGTACAATCGTGAATGTCCCTGCTCCAGCTATCGCTATTGACTACTGGAGATTGCCTAAAGATGCAACTCTGAAGGACGTTATTACTGTTATCCGAGCCGATGAAGCCCACCATCGAGATGTCAATCATTTTGCTTCTGTGAGTCACTTTCCATCTTGCTTTTTCTGTTTTACACTTGCCATCACAATCACTCCTTTGGATTTCTAACATTTTTTTGCACTTCTCGTTTTCTAAAATACTATTTTGTCCTTTTTATCCCCTTTATCCACCCTTTTGCCTCCTGCTTATATTTTGCATAATAATGTGCCATATGCTACAATATTTTTCTGATTTAAAAGACCATGAATGTGAATGCCCAAAGAAAGGCATAAATGCGAAAGCTGATCATAGAAATACAGTGGAGGATCTTTCATTTGTTCTATTGCTAGGTTCACTCAAAGTTTTTTGTTGTAGAAAATAGGAATTTGTTTGATTTCAATTTTCAATTAAATAAATAGTCACGCTGTTTAGAAAATAAGAAAATCAGAGCTAACGTTTGGATTAGAAAGAAAAAAAGAGGGCTTTTTTAAAGAACTGGAAAAAATTCACATTTTCAAAGATCTTGCAAAAATGGCAAGGAAAGAATCTGAAGTTCATGAGAAATGCTTCCTTTTTTTGGGGGTAGTCCTGAAGCATCCTGGCTGTGATGGAATTTGTTGTCTCATAATTTCTATCCTTTTTGTTCTGTTTTTTAATTTGTTTTTTATCTTTCTAATTTTTTGCTCATATTGATGATTAAGTACAAAAAGGGAGAAATGACGATTGATCTATTTTGTCGATATAATAAATGGAATCCAAAAATGTAAAGAACCTTTGCATTTTAAGTCTTAAATCAAATAAAAATGGAAATCTTCCTTCCTGAAAACCTCATTCCTCAAAACTTACCATTATCCTCCATGTGCTCTTGTATTATGAAAGAATTTGGATGAATGGTCCACAGGACATGTATTGTGTCACGAGACAGCATTGAAAAAACAGGTTCAATTAACATTCATAGGTACTAATGTTCTTACTATACTTCATTCCCTCTCTCATCATTTAAAACTGTCAATGGCCTCTCTTATTTATTTTTTCGACTTTTAACCTGAGGCAAGTTTTATGCGATTTATTTTGCATTATCATATTAAGGAGCGAAGAGTTGAGATGCGTTTAGATATTGTCTTTGCGACTTACCGATTTTCTTTTACAGTCTCTTGCCTACATGGTTGATATATGACTGATTTATTTCTACCTTGTTCTGCAGGATATTCATTTCCAGGGAAAGGAATTAAAGGAAGCACCAGCTCCGATCGGTTACCACTAATTTGTTGGTCGTGTGCTAGTTCATAAACGCGTTTTAATTGGTTTGGTTTTCTTCTTCTTCTTTTTTTTCCCCTTTTTTTTAATATATTCTGAAAATCATCGTTGAAATAAAATTTAAGATGAATTGTGCTGTGTAAATTTTGCGCATTGTATCGAAGAATCCAATTTTACGTGAGACGTATATGATAAAATTGAAAATGTATAAGGACCAAGACGAAAGAAAAAATAACCAAATTACATACTTATGGCTCTTAATTAATGTACTTAATGGAATAAAATAGTCATTGATTTTAATTTAAATGCTTATTTCCCTTGTTTCTAGTGTTTTTAGCGTTTCCACTGAAAATGTGTTTTACCAAATTGAAACTGAAAACAGTTTGAACACAAACCAAATACCTACTTAATATTTGGATTTTATGTGGCTTGTTCCTCTGGTGTTTAGTTCCCAACTGTAGTCTAAAACCTTTCACGTCTGGGGTAAAGAGAGAGCTGAACATTTCCCAAGGAGGATTAGTTTTGCTTTTGGTTTTACTTAGCCCCTGTACATTCATTCTATTTCTCATTTTTTTTTCCTTCTTCATTTCAACCACACATTCTATCAATAAAATAATATTATACGTAAACCCAGAATTTTCTTTACTTTTTAACTACATATTCTTCCTTCAATCATTATTTCAAAATCTATTCTTCCCCCAAAATGGATGTCAAGCACAAGCTTACTGTAGAGGAGCTTTTTAAAAAAATCATCTTTTCAAAATTAAATTTTAAAAGAGCTTTCTAATTCGATAATACTTTTAGAGGAAGTTATGTTAAACCAATTTCTTGTAAAAACTCTTCTAATTAGAAAAAATACTTTCTTAAAATTAGTCAAACGACTCAAAAATAACTTTTGGGTCTCAAAAGTTTCTTTTGACTCTTTAAAAATCATGCCAAACAGCCCGAGTTGGAAAAAAATAAAAATGCATCAACCTGATCAATGTTGAGCTCTTGTTTGACAACCATTATTTTGATAAAAGTGGAGTTTTGAATAGTGATTGTTTGAAAAATGTGTAGTTAAAAAGTAGGTAAATTTTTTGAATTTACGTACAAAATATTTAAGTTTCTTACACTGAGGGGCCGGGGATGGGTGGTTCAGGACATAGTCTAGTGTAAGTTAGGATACCTGGATATCAAAAAAAAAATAAAAAATATTTAAGTTTCTTACAAAAGATAGTGGTTCTAGGCGGCAGAAGGAACATTAACAGAGGAAACTGGGTCTGGTGCTGTGGCAACTGTTGATGTGAAAAAGGTTTCCGTCCTTACACTGGAGTAGGTTGAACTTATCTGATACTACTAGCACTTCGATACACTTCGTTTGATTCATAATCGTTACATTTTTATTTATTTATTTTTAAATTCTAGAACTGTTTGTTCGATTAATTTTTGGAATAAATTTGATGTTGAAGGAAACTCCTGCCAGCACTACTTTGTTAGCCTTAAGTCTTCTTCATTGAGACTTCATTTTAGATAATAATATCTCAGGATTGATTGCTGCAAACTTCAATGCAATTGAACTTTCTTATGTCAAATTATTCATCTTTGTGTTCAATTATTTCCATTCTTGAATGTGAACCTCCATTGTAAAAAAAAAATAAAAATATACAGCCTTTTTCTTAGATGTAATCGCACTTGCTTTTCCCTTCTGATTTTTCTTTTCTAGTGACCTTCAGCCCTACCCATGAACACTTGTTTTCTTCAGCTTACTTGGTTTTACCTTTCCTCCTTGCACTTGAATTGAGGAATATGTGGAGTGGAAAACAAATGTTGTATGAGCTTCTCTCTTGTTTGAGTTGGAAAGACGAAATTCTTTTATCAAACGAAAATTGAGGCAATTTTATCTTAACTTGTTTTGTTTAACTATTTCTTTTTGCAAGTTCAAGCGAATTTTGCTGATGCATCTGATGGAAAAATGTTAAGCAGGAAGGGAACTTTGCAAGAATGAGATAGTGAACTTTACTGGATTATTAGTCATAACATTTTCCTCTACTTGAGGAGTTTCTGCATAGCAAATATGAAATAGATTTTCCTATCAAATAGCGTAAACGTTGAGAGCGAAAGGTCAACTTCCAAGCAAATATAAGCATGGACAAACTACTTAGAATAAGAATTACTGTTTCGTGGGGATTGTCGCTAACAATTAAAAGATAGGTTCAGACGATTGTGTAAGGAACAAATCTCTTGAGACAAAATCCAAAAAATGAGTGCTTTGTTTATGAAGATTACAATTGGGAAGAAGCAAAATGCTTCCTAGGGGCACAAACACACGAAGTAAATTGAATGTTTGTACTTAAAAAATAAATGAATTGAAATTACATATTCTCTATTGAGAGTGATTGATTAGGGCTTTTTCTTTCTATGTCTTCTTTTCCTTTTTATACTCCATTGGTGATTTTCTCTGTAGAACTGCTTGGCGTTCTATAACTACCCACTTTCTTCGTGATGACTGACTTGTCAAAGAACTGTCGTTTGTAACTTGTTGCTATTTCTCGTCATTTAACCGCTTGTAACTGAGATTCTTGAATCGTGGGAGTGTAATAAGGTTGCTCGATAACCGCTTCAATAACCGTCATTTTAAGTAACCACATGACACTTTATTTGCTCAAATCTTGAGCGACTCAAAGGCTTGGACGAGAATGAGATTATCGCTCAGGACGACAGTAAGACACTTCTTTTGCTCGGATCCTGCAGGCCGGGCGATGATAATACTTTGTTTATGGGTCTCCGCTATATTCTACAATTGTCTCATTTGGATTTATGTCTTGAACTCTCTAATTGAGTTTCATTTTTTGTATGTCAACAATTACACCACATTGATATAAACATGGTAATTACAAAGACTTCAAACACCCCGAATCATAACCACCCAGGTAGCATCACTGATGAAGAACTACAAAATTTTCCATGTATAAAAAGAAAACTCCATACTTGTCTAATTTAAAAAAGTAATACTATTTATAGTAAAGACTATTGGTAGTCGTCCTATGTGTCATACACGTGACAATTTGTTATTTGATACATACTGTCATATGTATGCCACGTAGGATGACTATTAGTAATTCTTACTATGAATAACATTATTCAATTTAAAACCCAAGGGAGATAAAAATCTAATTCTTACAACCTTTTGGACATTGTCCACAAGTGTAACCCGTATGAATTGTACCATTTAGTTCCCTCGATTCTCCTGGAAGCCAAAGGTGCTTTCAGAATTGGAGCTCAAAGAAAGTCAGCCTTCTACAATAAAAGCGCGAGTTGAGATCATGCAAGTCATGCCCACCTGCATCAACTGCGAGTGTGAAACGCTTAAATTTGCAACCCCCTCCTACAGTTCTTTCTTAAGAAAGCATAAAAATAGTTAATGACGAGCTTCTTATTAAACCAAGAATCCTTTCTTGCCCTAATATTCCCTTGACCAAGAAGATATACTACCCCACATTCCTTGGCTTTGCGTATGAAAGACAACTCCTTCTCCAGACTTTTCTCTGCTTCAAATATTGATGGATCGGTAGGAGTTTCTGACTGCTCGTCTGAAGTGCTTGCTTCTGAAAAGGTCTTGGCTGTGTCCTTAAAATCGGCCAGGAGAGGAAAACCAAGAGTATAAACACCCCCATTGGGAGCTATTAGAACCTTTGAAAAAGAATGTTCTTCAGCATCTGAGTCCTCGTCAACATCACTCTCCAGGGACCTTTCCTGAGTTTCCCTGCGAATGAACTTCTCAAGACTCTCAATCAGCAATTGCTCGAAAGTCTGGTGGTTTTCTTTGCGGACATCCTTGTAAGTTGTAACCATATCTGTTAGTGGCAACAGTTGGACAGAGTATTATCTTCCTTAAAAAAACCTGCCCCAATACTATGTCTGTTGTGGGGCATGTCTACAGAAATATAAAAGATTATGCTTGTTGCCACATGAGAGTTCCTAGCACTGAATGGGGACTTAATGGAGCCATGATGATGCGGACATCAGATTTGACATCAGATTTATTTATTTTATTGTTATTAGATTCTATTATTTATGTNCCATGATGATGCGGACATCAGATTTGACATCAGATTTATTTATTTTATTGTTATTAGATTCTATAATTTATGTCTTCATTTTATTGGGCTTGTCGTAGCGGGCTGGCCCAATGCCCTTTTATGCATTAGGGCCCCGTTCGGGAGTGATTAAAATCCAATTAAAATTGAAAATATGGTCGTTATTGGACCCCACCCATCTAATAAAAGTCAACAATAACGACTATATTTTCAATTTTAATCCGATTTTAATCCCTCCCATACAAGGCCTAGGTTTTCTCGTTTTCTTATATTTATATGAATTGTCTTGAACATTGAAGACAGTTGATGATTGATTAATAAAGTTGAGTTTGGCTTGGCCACGTTTTCCTCCTTCCCCTCTCTTCTTCACGGCTTCTCCCTCTCTTCTTCTCCTTCCTCCTCTTTTTCTTGTTTCTTATTCTACATCACATGACAAGGTCAGATGAGGCAGGATACTTTGGCAATGTAACTACTGTATTTTACAAATAGAACTTCCAAAAGGGAGATGCATTATTGAAAAATTCAAATGACAACATTTTAATGAAATTGAAAGAATGGATCTAAAACTTTGCAATGTCCAAGGAAAATTTTTACGCTATATTAGCATTGAACAACTGTGTATTAAGGCACATCCTCCATGCGACAATCTTTCAATTTAGAAGCGAGGCTCCACATGGCATAGGTTCTCAATAAACCCATCCCATATCCACAAGCACACTCTTCTTATATTGGGAATAAGCCAAGTAAATAGTATCTTCAACCTCCACGATATAGCATTCAAATACCCATGCAACCAAAAAAAAAATTCAGTTATTTCTGATGTCTTCTCCATAAACAAAGGAGTTTCCATTCCCCATTGGATCCACCAGCATAATGAGTCATTTTAGTTTTGATGCAGATAGTCTTTATCCGCAGCAATATACCATTG